GGGCACTTAGGACCATTTTTAAACAGTAGTTTTTAGTCATTCTGCTCTCATAATGAAAGCTCAAAGACCCAGGGAGTTGATCCCGGCAACAATTTACACAATCTCACCATTTTGGGGGCCAAACAATCACCTTTCTCAAAAGATACTGTGGGGGCACTTTTAATGCTAAAGTAAAGAGCTGGCCAGAAATTCTCACTTGAATTAGTGGTCTGCACCCTACATGCACGCTAGCAGCAACTCGATCGACTGCTGTTGATTCTATTAAATTGCAAAACCTGTCATGCCATTTTCCTACCTCCATGGTCATACCGTGTACACGTTACTTGCCTCTTCAATTTCCATACTCAGCTATTTTCAATTTTCCATCCAACTCTGCCTCTTGCATGACGTCGACACAAGTTAAATCACTCAGGGAACAGTCTGACGAAGAGAGCTGTTTTGCAGAGGCAAATGCATATGCGTCTCTTTATCGTGGATCCGGATACATCACAAGTGCACCCCACGTTGTACCGTTGGGAATGTCGTCGAGAGCGTGTGGGCCTTCCGCCTACGTGCTTCAGCGTCCCGTATCCAAGCAGAGCGTCGGGGTTTATCAATCTTCGTCTCGCGGTAACAACCCGCTTGTTCACATCATGGAGCTATAAAAAGTATAACTCCGTGTTCACGTGTTGTTGGTCAACTCTCCCCGACTTACATGACTTACCGGCACTGAATTAACTCTGATCAGATTGGCCTCGGAAAAAGGGCTGGATGACAATGAAGACGTGACGTGCACAATAGTAGCGAGTCTTTTCGGTTGATTATTCCCTCTCTGTGGGAGAGATCAGTAAAGCCCTGCTTTGAAGAAAGTTCCTTTTATCGCAACCCAAAGAAAAACACGTGTGCCACTTGTGGGTGTGATGGCGTATGTTCACTCACTATCGCAACGGCCTTGAACTAGAGTTCCAGATCAGCGATTGGAAAACTGATATAGGTCCACAATCCCGCATGGCACAGGAACCGAGTAATCCTCGCAGTTGCAAATATTTTGGGCTCGACAGTAATTGCGATCAGTCGTGCATTGCAAAGCCTTTGTGTTGACAACAAAAGTGCAGAATCAACATTGCGGATTATTCCAATGGACCGTACTCCCAACAGATTCTGTTGTTCAGCAAAGCCAGGTGACTATACTGCCCGAGGGGGTAGGAGATCAGGGCCATCGGTTGCCAGGGAAACCGATTTATGTACAGTCGCGGCATCAACCGCAGGAGGGCCAAGGCTCGGCATTGCCATTGGGTTATTTTACAATGGTGGTATGTGGGGGTATCAAGAGGGTCACTTCACTTAAACTGGGAATCTCACGTCATGGTTTGCAGCTCCGTGTTCACTGTGAGAAGCAGATCGAAATATATTTTACTTTTACTGTGTTTGATTCAGTCATGTTCATGACTTTAGGAAATTACAGAGACGACTATGTGCGAAACTCCCACACGCATGCTTGGCTATAATAATGACTTGACTTTCGGTTTAAATCACACTCGGGGTTTTCTTAGCTTCCAGGATAAAAACCAGCACAGATGACAAAAATTACTGTCTCTATCGTCAACAGACGTTTCACATGGGCAGCAACCACTGCTCCTTTGTATAATACACAAGGACATCGAATTGAAACAACTACACAGTGCTAGAATTCTACGAGTCAACTCTCTAACAGCTCTTTTCCCTTGTCCCGTTTTGGGCATTAAAAAGTCAAATGTTCTACTTCTTATTGGGGTTACTTTTTTCTCATGGAGCTTATGATGTCTAAGGTAGAACAGTTTGGTCTAGTGCCACATCAGCAAAAATATACGACACCAGTTTTAAAACTATGTTTAATCCAAGAAGATATATCCCATGAAAACTTGCCTCCCACCATACTACGTAAGCCCTGTGGTGCCATCCAATATATATTTTCAAAAGTGAAGTGTACATTTTTTCGAAGTCAAGTATACATGGCTTTTTCGGCTATTTTTACGGTTGTTCAAAAATAAAAATCCCGCGCGTTTTCCGTGTGTTCGTGCAAAACCCTCACAAGGAGGTGTTGTGATCGTGAGCAGTATTCTTGGGTCATTTTCCCGACGTACAAATGCAAGAACAAGAAACCCGTGTCTAGAACTACCCGTACCCGACCCCTGGTTCTTTGGACCTCCATCCGAGGGTACAATTCATTAGAAAAAATATGGTTGAAAAATGATTCTGAGTGTCCGAAGAATTCAAAAAAAAGAACAAAAGACTGCGCACACGCTTCGTTACTATATCGTGACAATCGCAATTCTGCTTTGTCTGAATAATGAAAAATATAATCGGCTAGCCCACGATACATGACAAGAAACAGAAAGTTCAAGGACAAAACAATAATTTAATTTTGGTCTGAGAACCCCGGTGAAGTCGGCTTGCATGTCATTAAGCCCTGAATAGTGTTGATATTACAATGTATTAAATGGAGCTGAAATTTGTGGACTGCACTCACAAGCACTGACCACCGAATAGCCATGCACCCGGGAAACTACACGCCATGCAAACCTTTGTATTATGTCCGACTCAACTCAGTTCACTGAGATTTTGAAAAAAAAGCAACTATAAATCAGTGCCAAAAGGGCTCAACTTATCAGAAAGATTTCCATCCATTCAGCGACAAAAATTATTACATGCATATCGTTTTTGGTACTTACCGTACTCATTTCAAGTATACACTGGTAGGGCCTACTTTTGCGCTGAATTTAAAAGGAAAACCAATACACTCCATGCCTAAACTGCTTTCGGCAATGATTGTTGAAAGCTTCGAAGGCCTTCATCACTTGTCATTGAAGGGTGCATAAATGTGTAACGATGGTGAACAACTAAAAGGTTTGTTACCATGGTTCTATTCGAAGGTTGGAGTGTTCTCATCATAGTTAAGATTAACAAACTGATAAATTTGAGAAAACATTTGAAATAAAATTATAGACTTTTCATCATTACAGAAGCACGAAAATAAGATTAAAATCTCCGAACCATATAAAGTCACGCTTATGCCGGTACATGTATTACAAATTGTTATTATGCATAGGATACACGACCCAACGATCGATTCAGTTCCCTGATACTAAAGTTTAGAATCGAGTCAGTGGTGTATCCGGGGGGGGGGTGGCTCCAGGGAAGGTAAAATGGGATTTTTCTTTCTAAAAACGGCGGTTATATTTTTCTGTCTGTGGAAGAACCTCACTGCCCACCCTACAAGAAAGGTGGCGGTACCGGTACCAATTGGGACGTGTTGAATCTTTCATTCCCCTTAAGGCAAGGTGTCTGCCCTCCCCTCGGGTAGATACACCACTGTGTATGTACAAATAGTCAACACAATACACTGCTTACCTCTCCTGTAGATTTGAAACAGAAAAAAAAAATCTAACGGAAACGTACTAAAATATATTTTCCACATTATTAGGTTTTTTGTATTCTAGGCAAGGCATTTCTGCCTTCGTGCAAATGGTCAATTAATAGGCTGTGTCTTTTTAAAGTGCACTGGGTTCAGATGGCTGTTTTGGTTATTAATTTCTACATGTGAGTTGTGTGACACTTAACGACATAAGCTGACTGGAATTTCAAAAACTTCCCTACTGTGATTCGACAGCCTGTGATCGGGCACCACGGTTTGCAGTGGTTCATCTTTTTTTCCCTTTTCCTTTAGACAATAATTTTCTGTGTTTTTCCCCCAAGTCAGTATACCTTAAAAAAAAAACATGAAACCTGACACACCCATCAACCGAGATCCCTACATGTGACGTCATGACTACGTTATAAGGTGCCGGATTACAAGCGACTGTATAATTTCAGAAAACACGACCGACTTCTATTAGTTGTATCTCATAAAACTGATACAGGAGTTCATATATTTGGATCTCACTGAAGTTTTGTCGTTAGACCTTTGTTTCCAGTTATAATGAAGGGTCAAACTGCAGGTACATTTTAAATGCGTAGCCTAAAACAAATCAGATCAAAACAGATCAAATCAATACATCGGTCAATATATGTCATACTGTTCAGGCTTTTAATATTACCGTGAAACCTCGTACTAACATAAACCTTGATGTTGAGACGTGGTTGCTGTCTTAACGTCACTACGGCAGCATCAAATACCGAATTATATGTACAAGTAATTTAAACTATGAACTCAAAAAAGAAGAAATGCTTTCATTTATAATTTTGGAACAGGATGTTCAAATTTTGAGGCCATATGTTGGGCAAGATTACAGACTGCAACGGAAAGTCACATGACCACGTCTTCCGGGGTAACCAGAAAATTCAGTGGCATGGAATTATAACTCAGAACAGAAGGATTTTCTACACCGAACCAATCGACTAAAAATACTGAAGTTTGTATTCTGTACACTTTATAAGGGTAACTGATATCACGACATAAAAGGGCGCCAACTTGTGGCACATCAAAGACAGTTTTATCACATTCGTTATTTGTTTGCCATAGCTTTATAAAAGTGGATAAAACCATTTGTATTATTTTGCGATTTTGTGATTTGACTTCATCATTCAATATACATGTACATGTACCTCAGGGATGTCACCTTGCACAAATAATGACATCTAATAATGATCTATGTTTTCACTGTTTTTCTTTTCCAACACTGACGTAATTGATTTGTTTATTAATTTCTCCAAATCAGTACGTGGTTACTTACTAATGTTACATGTTGCTTTTTAATTTGATGAAATGCTGCTACTTAAATTGAAAGTGTCATGCCATTTCGATATCTGCAATTTCACAGACACCTTTACAGCAGTGTGATTACAGCATGAATATAATACATGCCGTCAATGACTATACAAACTGCAATATGTATACATGTATATATGTGGTCCCAGAGTAGAAGCAGGCATCATCTGCACAGGCCTTCACACCAGGCACGATCTCACATCCCAGGCACATCCGAGCCGAATTTACTGATGTGGGCGGCCCTCTTTGCTGGCAGAAGGACCTGAAACAATCACCACAGGTATGGCGAAGTTTACTGTCTTGACACATTGTGTCTCGTGTTTTGATAAGCATACCGATGTAAGAGAGTCAAGCTTCAGAAAGCAACTTTATTTTATTTTTCACACATTTAACTATCACTGCAGTGGAACCAGTCTTGCACAAATGTTGCACGCCTTCTTGAAGTGCATTTTTGCAAGCTATAAGTATAGCAGCATTATCTTTGCTAGGCAGAAGGCAGGCCTGGAATAGCTGATCGAATTCAAATCACAAACTACATGCCCTAACATTCTCTCCTTTTACAGGATTTTGAGGCCCAAGAACTTGTTTTTTTTCTAAAATAGGAAGGATGAGAGTTATGAACATTACTGGGAGCTTGTATTTCTGTGAAACTGGGTGAAACTGGACAATTGAGCTGGCCTACCGGACGATCCTCTTGAGAGGATAATCTGTCCTAAATATTGAACAAAACCTGAAATGTGCGAGGGAAGGCTTTACTTTGATTTATGTCTGAAAGACCTAGGAGATTTTAAGTAGTTCCCCTATTCCTTTTAAGGACGGTATTTCTTATTGTCGGCTAAGCAGTTCATTTAGTGGTGTCTTAGCCTATTAGCCCAACCGGCAATTTACAGCTCACACACTACCTAGCAGTGGTTTCAAATTGTAAACTGCTGGCAATGACCAATGACACCTGTCTATGGCTGGTGGCTTTAACAATGCAATGGCGTTGTCATTCCTGGTCGAACCGTCAATATCCCAGAACATCCTACCACAGAAAGGTACATGACATCCTCTCATCTGGTGCATACCGCCCTCTACCCAAAGACCCCACTCAAGTCATCGAGAAGCGAGTAGCAGCCACTGCTAGCACCCAAGA